CCCTACAGGACAATGTAGGGATTGTGAAGGGGGAGTGTTCTGCTGTCTTCTGGAGCAGTAGAGTCTACCAAGTGACACAGTCTCCCTTGGGAGGTGGGAGGGGTGGCAGGGGGTGGATGCTGGAGGACTTTTCTATTCTGAGAGAAGCCCCCACAACACGTACAGACATTCAGTCTCCCAAGATAAACTCTTCTGGGAGTGATTTAGTCGTGGTTGTTCCTGGGTTATTTTTCCCCTGAAGCAGCCATTTTTATTCTGGGAGGAAAAGCCTGAAATCTGTTTACTTGTGGCTTTTCCTGGGTGACTATGTGCAGCTGGCCTTCCTATTCGGATGCATGGCTTCCCAAAGGTACATTTGAATTTCAATCTTTAAAGCTAACAAGAATGTCTCTAGAATGTTAAGGAGGGGATTAGTTTATTGGTTTATTTACTTTAATTCTGGGTATCTCGGAAGCAGAAAAAATATAGATGAACTTGTATTCAAAGAACAGATCAAGAGAAACTTGATTAAGGTGCTAAAAGGATTTACTTGTAAGAAAGATTTAAGGGGGCTAAATCATTGATTTCGACTACGCAAAGATTAAGAGGAAACTAAAGTTAGAACTGTCTACAAATACTGGTAACATGATAAAAAAGCAGTCAATAAAATAATTCTTTAGCATGCAACAGTGGGGAGGCAGGTGTTAATACTTAGAAGAACTCCAAAAAAATTGGGGGCAGTCTTTATCAGGAGGTCTTTCTTTGGGAGTAGACCTCTTGCCCATTGCTTCTGAACAGATTCAGAATTTCAAGCCTGATACAGCCCTAATGAAGTTTTACCACTGGTGTTAAATATGATGACAAATTTCTAGGAGGGATTGGGAGGAAGAAGAAAAGAAGAAGAGAAAGTCTAATAGCAACCCTAAAGGAACAGAGAGAGTTTATAGCAGTCTTGCATCTTGCCAGCCATAATGCGTGTTTGTCTAGAAATGTCAATTTAAAACTGCATTTCTAATCTGCAAAGTGCCTATATACAAAGAACAATACCTTAAGTTCTGCCAATTTGTGTACATTCAAGCCAAATGTTGACTTTGGGAACAAGTACTTTTTTTTACTGTTGTTACTCCTATCCTGACTAAAAGAACTTCTGTATTCCACTTGTGCACAACCAACAGAACTGTTAACTAAATTTCAATTTACTTTTGACCCAGGACTATTTTCTTATGAACATTACAAGTATTATGAAAGTACTACAATACTTTACAAAAACTTCATTTTGGTGAGGGTTGGGGATTGCAAAATATTAGACAATCCAAATTCTACCCTCCCAAATGCCCCCTTTTAATGTGGTGTTAGAAAGAGAAGTTATTGCCTAGATAGCA